CTCTTAGTCTAGATACACAGGGGAGACCTAAGATCTGACCCAAATGACTTGATAGATTTTGATAATCCCTCATAGAAGGCTTCATCCTCCCTAGAGAGTGGATGGATCTGGAATACAGAGGATGGGAGGATGGGAGGGAGAGGGAACTGGGATTGATATATACAATAAGATTGTTTCTCATTTAAATAAAATTTATATTTAAAAATGTAATAGCCGCCTGGCATTGGTGGCACACACCTTTAATCCCAGCACTCGGGAGGCAGAGGCAGGCGGATCTCTGTGAGTTCGAGGCCAGCCTGGTCTCCAGAGCAACTGCCAGGATAGGCTCCAAAGCTACACAGAGAAACCCTGTCTTGAAAAACCAAAAAAAAAAAGTACTAGCAACATGTAGATGACAAATTGTCTCTATATATCCTGATATCCTTGCTCTTGGTTTCTGAATTGCTTGAATATTCTGTATGTCTAAAATTATACAATTTTACAAGTTACTTTTTCTAAATGCTGAGCAACCCTTGCATTATTTTTTAAATTTTATTTTAAAATTCCTATACAATATATTTGATCATATTATTTTTCCTAGTCTGATTCCTTCAAGATCATCTCCCCTTGCTTCCCACCCAACTTCATTTTCTTTCTCTCTTACTAAAAAAAGCTTAAAATACCTAAAAACTAATATCAAATAAGACAAACATAATAAAACAGGGAGAAAGAAAGTCAATAAGACAAAGACCAAACAAAATAAAATAAAAGGTGCATACAAAATAGCATGGAGTTCATTTTGTCAACGACTCCTGTGCATGGGGCCTGCCCCAGGGTGTGGTTAATGTACCCATTAGAATTCCACTGGGAAAATATAAAATTTCCTTTTTCTAGCAGGTATCAGTTCCAAATAGCTTTTAGAAGTTATATTTATCTGGAACAAAACTACTGGGCTTACAGGAAAAAGCATCTTGAGATTCCTTTTCTCTAATAAATTAAAATAATAAATGCTAATATTCTATTTTTTGAAGTCCCATATGAATATCACAAGGATTCCAGATTCTGTATAAACACACACACACACACACACACACACACACACGCACGCACGCACGCACGCACGCACGCACGCACGCACTCACACACACACTCACATTCATACATTCACACATAAATCCTCACACACAACACAACGTCATACACATATCACCTATAACATGAAATGCACAGATACCTACATAAAGGAAACAAACATTTATACACCCGTATATAAACACAATATAAATTCGTACATACAGAATATGTTTAAATAGGCACATACACACATACACACACACATACACACACACACACACACACACACACACATGCACACACACACACACACACACACACACATATATATATATATATATATATTAAATAAACACAAGTATATACTACATACCGATAAACAAACACAATTCTTATTCCCCATTCCCCCATGTATACAGATAAGACTGACACCAGACATTCAAACACACACCAACTCACACACACACACACACACACACACACACACACACACGTGTCTCTGTTGCCTTGCCATTAAAAGTACTTTAACTCTGCCAAATATAACCTGGCACTAAACCACAAAATAGGAGAACTTAAATTAATAAATCTAGAAATGTAAAATGATAAGAAAATAGGATCTGCTTTTAGTGTAAGTAAAGCTAAACTGTCTAGTCTAGCAAGCCTAAAAATATACATCCTGAAAATAATATTTTTGAGTTAAAGTTATGTATTTTTAAATATATTTTATAATTTTTGAGATTATAATACAATTGTATCATTCCTCCTTCTCTTTAACTCCTCCCATATATCCCTCTTTGCTCTGCTATACTCATGGCATCTTTTTCATTAGTTTTGTTACACAAACACACAAACACACACACACACACACACACACACACACATACATATATATATAGGCATATATATTTATATATATATATATGCCTATAGATTTAGAAATACATAAATACACCCTGTTCGGTCTGTATAATGTCACTTTTATGCATGTTTCCTTGGCTGTCCATTTGGTATTGAATAATAAGTTGGTATGCTGTTCCCTGGGGAAGATTATTTCTCCCATGTTCAGCATTCTTAGTTGCCTGTAGTTCTCTTTATAGGGAGGAAGCCTTGAGGGCTTTCACCTGTCAGTGTTAACTTGTCTATTGCTGTTATCCCTGTTCAACTCATCTTTAGGCAGTCATCCTAATGGCCCTATGGATATAGCTTCTCACATGCCTGGTACTGAAAGCCTTGCTAACTACCTTGTGCTATTGAAGTCCTAGATCATGGACCACCATTTTACTACACCAGCACAATCCTTAGCTATACTCTAGATGTTTATCCTTATACTCACAGATAAGTGTATTCCTCATCCTTCATCACCACATTAAGAAGAATTCCATTTGCCAAAGATAAAGACCATTGCCAAAAACTACAAACAATGAAAACCCGGAGTTGTGGAGCCCAATTTCAGTGGATTTAATGTACAGATCAACTCCTACATCTATGGCTCAAGGAAAACTGGAGAAGAGAGCACAGAGAGACTGTCTGAGCCAGTCACATATTTGAGAAGATCCTGCCTAAATGACTGAAAATAATCACTCCTTAGTGTATTCATTATCTTATAGTATCCAGAAAAATGAAGTATCTTTTCATCTTTCCCTTGTGGATGAAGCCTTTCATAATATATTTTATTATATACTTATTGAGTTCAACAAATAAAGCTAGATATGCTCTTACTTTCCTTTCACAAAAGCATTTTCTTCATTTATTTTATTCCAAGTCATTTCCAGTTTGCTTAAAGACATTTGACTAGCATATAATGAATTAGAAATTTTGAACATTGCATTTCATACTGATTTCCTTTAGTGAGAACTTTCATTGTAAAAGGAAAAGTAAGGAGGAGACATGGAAAGGAATTTCAACCTGTGACAACTCACCAAGAAATCAGAATATTTGTCACAGAGAGAAAAGCTTTGAGCAAGCCTTTCTTGTAATAGCCTCCTGTTTCCTCGATTTTTACCTGCAATTTAAGGATTAGATGCTAGAAATACTGAGATCCTGCTATGGGAAAAATACTGCATCAGATGTTGGGAAATCAATGTGCATTCAACCATGTCCCTGCACACCAAAACCTTGCATTCTACAAAATACATTTCATTTATTAGGATGTGAAGTAAAGATGGTATGCTTTTCCTTCCTATTATGTTCAGTGAGCTGTGAGGATGTCACCAGCCTGCCTTGAAATCTTGGGTCTTCATTCTTTTTTTCTCAATTAAGTCTAAGTTTCTAAATGTGACTTAATAGGGTGTTCTGCCACATCCCTAAATTTTTAGATACTAGAATTCCTCCTCATGAACTCCTCTGAAATCAATTTGTAACAGCTTCTAGATTCTTCTTCTTTTTAAAAAAAGATTTTATTTATTTATTATGTATACAGTTATCTGCATGCATGCTTGCACACCAGAAGAGGGTAACAGATCTCATTACAGATGGTTGTGAGCAACCATGTGGTTGTTGGGAATTGAACTCCAGTCCCCTGGAAGAGCAGTCTGTGCTCTTAACCTCTAAGCCATCTCTCCAGCCCCCCAGCTTCTAGCTTCTACTCTCTGTCACTGCATAGGCAGCTGTCCCTACACTGGCTGAAGTGCTCCCTGACTGATGGGGGATGTTCTTCTGTATATATGTTTTTCTTATTGGTTGATGAATGAAACACTGATTAGCCATAGCCAGGCAGGATTTAGAGGTAGGGCTACCAGATGAGAAGAATGCTTGGGAGAGAAAGAGAAAGAAGCTTCCATAGACAGAGAGAGAGAGACGCCACATAGTGGAGGAAGGAGTAACAGGTCTGGACCATTCTCTGGTAAATAATTCCACGTGGAAATACTTAGATTAATAGAAATGGTTTAATAGTTAGTAGAGAGCTAGCCAATAAGAAGCCTGAGCCATTGACCAAATAGTTTCTAATTGAAACTGTGTTTATTTGGGGATGAAGGGCAATTGGAGCAGGTGGTAAAGAAACTTCCTTTACACCTGTCTTCTCATGCTGCACCCACACTAACGTTTTACTCACCATACTTTCTTCTACCTCCATGCTTACTTGGCTAGACCCCTCGGGAATATAAAGCTTTAAGAAGAAGCTATGCATCCATTACCATAAGCCCTTCCAGTTAAGGTACCTAACACTTAACAAGGTGCTATGACTATTGGGTAAATAAGTTAGTAAATTGCTGAAAGTTTTATTTATCTAAGAGAAAGAAAAATATTGCTAATTGTTGCATTCTGTGATCTATTGCATCCACAGTTAGAAGCTAAATGATCTCAAATGACAGCACAGCTTTTAACTAATTATCCTGATTAACATCTCTTTATGTGTAATTATATGAAGATTTATTTTCCTTTAATTTTAATATCCATAAGAACTGCTAGCAATTGCTCATTAGTTATCTTTATTCAAAAATCCATATTAACTGAGAATCTACACACAAATGTAATAGATTTACATAAGTTAACTTAAATGCTTGCTTATCTTAGAATATGACTCAGAGCAAACTTGATAATGTTGGTATAGCTTGATAAAGCTTGTATTGGTGATGTCTATTAGTGATGTTTCATTCAAGTTACAGAAATGGCAACTATTCAAGACAAACTGATAATATGAGCACTTTCAAAACACAGGAGAAGCATAGTCACACATCTTTACAAGTAACAAATCTATGCATTTGCTAGATTAAATGTAACAACCAGAACCAGCAAAGAATGTAGAATATCATTATATAATTCTACAGTGTCATAAAATGTATGAGATGATTCTCCAAAATGAGTAAATAAATAAGTGAACATTTGTCATCTAAATGTTTGTTGACAAAGACAGAAGTTACAGAAGAGGAGTAGTATATTGCTTACATTTTTGAACTGTTTAAATGGCTTCACAAATATTTATAAAAGGTCACAAATAGGGTGATTACCTGGGGTCTCAGGAAGGAGGCTTTATGCCATCAAAAGCTATTTCTGATGTCCAGCCAGAGATCTAAAACAGAGTAACAAAGAGAATTTGTGGCAACACAGACACACAGTATTCTTGGAGAAGTGAAATCGATTGTGACATTTTTCATTTATTTGTAAATGCCTCTTTGGCAGGACACTCACTCAAAAGGACAGTTTCTTCTTCCAGCATAGGGTGGGGGTGATGGTAAAATAGAGGGATCCTGACAGCTGCTTTAATGAGCTCTGCATCAGGGCCATTTGAACACTTTCACCCAAGAAGGAGCTTGTCCTTCATTTTCAATATAATAGTTCAGTATAAAATGTTATTTGTACGAAAAATCCAAACCATCTAGTCATTAGCAGCAGTTGCTTAGTTTATTTTCTCCCATCTCAAATATTTATTCCAAATGAATACCTACTGATTATCAGCCACACAGAGTGAGCACCTCTCCTCATCAAAGGATCATTACAGCTAGGGGTGACTAAACAAACAAAGGTCACCTCACCTACTAACCCAAATATTTGTTGGAAGATAAAGGGGGAAATAACTTAAACTCCAGTATTTACCATTCAGATTTTGTCACTTTATGTTGCTAAGGAAAAAGAAATTATTGGTAGGGTAACATTTCACTAGTGTTTGTCATTAGCTCAACTAAATTAAAACAGTCTAAAGACTCCACTTTGCTTACCAGTTTGTTCTTGGATCACATGCTAAGCGCCTGGTGGAGCTGCACAGAAATTCCTGAAGCTTCTTCTCAAAACAATATACAATATACACTTCAGTAAGCAAGGAAAATAATGCCTTACCCAACCCAACCCAGCAGCTGTCATCTACTAGTTAACCAATAATTGTCTGTTGAACTGGAAAACTCGTAGGGTGAGGTAAACTTTTCGATTGTGGGCAAACATTCACAGTCATATGAAAAAAGTAAATTAATTGAGATCTTAAAGAAATAACAAAATCTATGGGTTACAATACCCTTATCTATAAATCATTGTAGGTATCTACTCTTGATGATGAGTAAGCACCATGGGCATTGTAAATTGTCAGTAAGGGTAGGAATCATTCTGTTGAAGCTTCACTCTGATAAATCAAAGAACATTTTTCTCAAACACACAGTGAACACAGATAGTGGAGTACCAGATCTTGTCTCTTAAGACACCATCAGGACCTGTGGTTTTACCTCTTCAGCTAACAGGTCATTGCACTCAGTTCCCTGAGCACAAAATGGGACTCATATTGAATAGTTTTTCTACAAAACTGACTGAAAACCTCAGTGTTGAGTGGCCTTGGATTTCTTTCTTCAGTTTTTCTAAAAATAATAGGTCTCAAATTTAGCTCTACATCAAAATTAGCATGGACTTTATTTGAAATGGAGATATCTATATGTAACTCCAGACCAATTAAATCGATTTGTATTTTTAGAAGCTCCCAGGAGGGTTCCAGTGTGTAGCTTGAGCTCATAATCACTGGTCTGCTGTCTGACACTCATTTCTGCAATCAATACTGTCTGTTTCCCACTTTATTCATTTTTTCTCCTTTGCATCACTGAACTGTAATGCCTCACCAATGTCTTTGTCACAAATCAGCTCTGTAGAAGAGTATGTTGTCCACAAATTCAGGTCATCCCTGATGAGCTATGTGCTATTGATAATGATCTAATCTCCAGTGGAGGGAACAACTTAAAGGTGCATGTTATGCCTATCTGGCCAATAGCATGGCAGAAAAAATGGTCAGTGAGTTTCTAATACTATTCCACCCTTCTAACCACATCCTTTTTCTCCAGCTTCTGAGCAAGGACATGAAAACTTACGAGCCTGCCCAAGCTAGGAAGTGCTCAGTGAGGAAAGCAGAGCAAAGAGACAGAAACACAGAATTGGTTACAATGATTTTGCCATGAATTAACTTCACCCACAGCAAGCATGATTATATGAAAGAAACTGAAAAGTCACCAAATCATTTTGAAACTAAACTGAAACCACAAAGGCACTCTAACCAAAGCCCAGGTTAAGTAATACTTTTATCATTTTTATTTTGAAATCTTTTACAGGTGAGCCAAGAGACACAAGAAAATGCTTCATGTTTCTTGACAAATTAAATACTTAATTTTGTTTAAATGGTTTGATATAACAATTTCGAAGTGTTTAGTGCTTTCTATGTACATGTTCATACGTATGCGTACATACATGAGGAGACAAGCGGTTGATAAATGGGAGTCTTCACCTTATTTTTTGAAGCAAGGGTGACCACTCTGTTTGCAGCTCAAGTATTTGGCTGGACTGTATGACCATCAGGTCCAAGGAATCCTCCTTTCTGATCTCCCCAGAGGTGTTTTTTTTTTTTTTTTTTTTTTAACATAAGTGACAGGAATCTAAACTTGGTAGTTAGTGTCTTAATGAGGGATACACTGGTGTGATGAAACAATGTGACCCAAATAAATTTGAGTAAGAAAGGGTTGTTTTTCTTATACTTTACATCACTATACATCACTGAAGCTAGTTGGGGCAGGAGTCTGGAGTCATGAGCTGATGAAGAGGCCATAGATGATTGCTGCTTACTGGCTTGATCCTCATGGCTCTCTTAGTCTACTTTCTTGTAGAACCCAGAAGCACCAGCCCAGAGGTGGCACCACTCACAATGTATGAGGCCCTCTATCACAAATCAGTAGTTATGAAAAAGCCCTATAGTCTTGCCTACTGCACACTATTATGGAGGGAATTTCTTAGTTGAAGTTCAGTCCTTTCAGATAACTCTAGCCTGAGTTGGGTAAGCTAATACCAGACAACCCCTGTGGCAAGAACTTCATAAAATATATGAAGATTTTTCCTTTATAATATACAAGATTAAAATCGGGATGAAGGTTGTAGGATGGCATATAAGGTAGTCATCAATCTCATTATCAGAGAAGGGTATTTAAGTTAGCTTCTCCACTATTGCTTAGACTGTTAGTTGGGGTCATCTTTGTAGATCTCTGGACATTGCCCTAGTGCCAGATTTCTTTTTAAACCTATAATGGCTCCCTCTGTTATGGTATCTCTTTTCTTGCTCTCCTCAATTCTTCTCCTATAGTGGATAAGTATTTATCCCTAGTACATGAATGGACTTTGGGAGCCCAATCCACATAGATGGATACTTTCTCAGCCTAGACACGTGGGGGAAGGTCTAGGCTCTGTTCCAAATGATGACAGAATTTGAAGATCCCCATGAAAGGCCTCACCCTCCTTGGGGAGCAGAAATGGGATGGGATAGGGGGCCGCTAGGGGGCAGGGAAGAGGGGAAGGAGAGGGAACTGGGATTGACATCTAAAACAAGCTTGTTTCTAATGAATAAAATATGTTTATATAAAAAAGGAATACACAGGAAGGATTCCATACCACATATTATAATTGAGTACAAGAACATAGGAAAGTAAGTTACAGACCCTAGGGGAGCATAGTACGGTTTTTTACTTAAGTTGACATAGAACACCTAAGAAGTAATTTGGTGTACAAATTTTTATGTATGACAAAAGATACTTCAAACCAAAACTAAGGAGAAGAAACAAGGAAGTACACTACATGTACACCAAAGGAAAAATCCACCCAGAGAACTTTTTATTTCTTAACATGTATGCCCCAAGCAAAAGAGCACACAGTTTGTATGAGAAACATTAGTAGAGATTAAATCGCATATTGACTCTTACACGCTAATAGTCAGAGATTTCAGAACCCCTATTTTTATCAATAGACAGGTCATCAAGACAAGATCTGAACAGAGAAATACTGAAGCTAATAGATGTTATAAACTAAATGGACCTAACATATATTTACAGAACATGTCAACCAAACAAAAGAATATACCTTCATCTCTGCACCTTATAAAACTTTCTCCAATATAGACCACATACTTGGATAAAAAGCAAATCTCAACAGATAATGGAAGCTGAAATAACTGCCTGTATCATTATAGACCACCGTGAATTAAAGCTGGATATCAGCAACCACAATAGCAGAAAGCTTACAAAGTCATGGAGACTGAACAAATCTTTACTGAATGAAAATGGGTAAAGAAAGAAACTAAACAATTTCCAGAATTCAATAAAAATGAATAAAAAGTAAACCCAAACTTATGGAACACAATAAAACTTGTTCTAAGAAGTTAGTTCATAGCACAATGTTCCTGCATAAAAATGTGAAAGATCATATACTAGCAACTTAATAGTATATATGAAGGTTCCAGAACAAAAAGAAGAAACCACAAGAAAATGGAATAGATGTCAGGAAATAATAAAAATCAGGACTGGAATCAATGAAAGAGTGTCATTGAGGAAATTCAGAAGATAATAAGGACAAATTAAAAAACCTGTACTCCACAAAGTTGCAAAAATCACAAAGAAATTGATAATTCTCTTGATATGGGCCATTTACCAAGGTTAAATCTAAATCAGATAAGCAATTTAAATAGACTTATTGCCACTAGTGAAATATAAACAGTCCTTTAAAGTCCCCCAGTCATAAACGCCCCAGGCCCAGTTGGTTTCACTGGAGAATTCTACCAGATTTCAAAGGAGAGTTAACACAAATACTCCTCAAACTATTTCCCAAAACAGAAACATCAAGAACAGTGCCAAATTACATTTAGGGCTCCTGATACCCAAACCACATATACAGTCAACAAAGAGTGGGGATTAAAGATCAATTTCCTTTATAAACAAAATACAAAAATAATAAAAATATTAACTATATCCAAGAACATTTCAAAAAGATCATCCACCAGGATCAAGTAGGCTTCATCCCAGGGATGAAGGGATGGTTTTATATATGAAAATAAATTGGGATGGAGATCTGGCTCAATAGATAAGAGCACTGACTGCTCCTCCAAAGGAACAAGGTTCAATTCCCAGCACCCACGTCTGTCTGTAACTGTCTGTAACTGTGCTGTCTGTAACTTCAGTTCTAGGGACTTTGACACCCTCACACAGATGTACATGCAGATAAAACACTAATGCACATAAAATATGAGTAAATAAATAAATGTTTAATCCCCATTTTTTTTAAAATAGAAA